GGCTGCCATGCACAGCACCATGGGTATGGAAGGGATTATGCTCACTTCCTCTTGTCTGTGCAACATCAGTCCTGCTCCACATTTGGAGCTGCGGGACACGAGCAAAGCGAGCTGGATGTTTTTCTGTCACAAGTCTGGCAGTGGGGCAGCTGAGGGCTTTGTGTGATGGCTGCTAAATCCATGATGAATTTTATGTCTTCTGCGTGCTGCCCTGGGCAAGCTGGAGTCTGACCTTTATTAGAAGATCAGCGAACAAAAAGAAACAATGGGTGCTTTAAAAGAAGAAAAAGTGCCACAAACCAATGTTTTACATATTGCACATATCCGTAATTTCTTAATGTTGAATGTTTTATGCAAACAGTGAGGCACCAAAAGTTTGGCAATGTACGTTTAGTTTCAAATAGTTGCTCTCTGTCTACGTAGCAGTGTTTGGAAAACAAATGTTTGGTTAATATGTGGTTAAGCACTTTTGCAGTACAGAGTGTGTTCTTCATTGCAAGGTATCTTTCCTGAAAAAGCAAAGTATACATTTGGTTTTTGAATCCATGCAGACATAGTTTGTAAGCAGTGATTTAGATCTTACAAATACTTCAGGAGCCCTTTGAACTTGTATGTTGGGTAGGTCAGTGCATGCTAAATATTTTTATAAGTAGTTTTCTATGCATTTTTGCTTCCCTCTTCCTTCCACGTGTTTACTTTGCATGACCAATATTCTCTGAAAGTGCAACTTCAGACATTTTAAGTGAAACACATGGCCTGCTCTGCATAAACTGAGTGGACAGTCACATTAAGGCAGTGCAGGAGTAAGAGTGAGCATGTGGATATTATTATTACTAAATTTGTATTTTATTTTCGTAACATAATTTATTTTCAATTTGTGGATGAACATGATATAAGGAAAGGACTAAAGGCAGACACACCTACCAGGGCTCGGCAACTCACATACGTTACCAATGGCAAAGATTTGCCCTGAATGTGGTGTCAGGGTTGCCATGTGAACCAACATCATATCTAATTTGTCTTTTGAACCAGCAGGGACAAGTCATGGTAGCATGACTATAGACTGTGAGCATCCTATGTTCACTGAAGTGGTAGTTGTGGCTCAGACCGGGTCTGCAATCCTCAGATCCAGATAATTAAAGTATGAGTTTCCCAGCAAAGTAAGTCCAGAAGCAGGCATTTCTTTCCTAGTTCAAACTGAGAGAGGTCAAGGAACCTCTTGAAGTAGTTTCTAGCTGCAACCATTCCCAAGACCCCCTTCCAACAGCAAGGATCAGCAAGCATATCTCTAAGGCTATCTGGTTAGTGGCCTTTGGTACCCTCAAAGTTTCCACTCTTTTTGTATCACAAAGAGGATTCTTACTGGTGATAAACAAACAAATCATTCACAGTACTGCATAGCACTTGTGTAATACTGCCAGTCCATGTTTCCAGGGGTGGTGCTTATGATTCTTGGATCTGTTTTGCCTCCAATCCAAGTGGTTACAGTTGCAGATGAAGCCCATGGGAATTCAGCTGTAAGCATCTACAGCAATGCACTTTGAAATATTAGATCCAATTAGAAATACCAGATGTTTTACAGTGACCAAGCGAGATGAATGGAAAATATTAGCATTTATGCTCTTCCTTGGTTTATCACTGGTGAACTGTTAATACAGTGTTACCTTTTCTGTTTTATTAAATTAATTAGAAAGTAAACAGATGCTATAGAAAACACATGAAAGCAAAAAAGAAAAAAGCTGGTGGATGTATTGAAAGATGAGCATGTGTGAATAAGACTTTTGATAAGTTTTTAAAACCACAAGAAAAAATAACCTTTAAAATACTTTTTTTACCCAGTATTCAATATAAAATCAAGCTTTTTACAGTTTTTTATCTGCAAGCATTGTCTAATTTATCATGTAACATAAGCTTAACATTGTGATATGTTACTGATGCTGAATTAATTTATCTCTTTAAGAATGACTGGTTATTCCTTTTTCCCATTTTTGTGTTTTTGTAACAAAATATTAGAGTTTGAAGACTTTTATATATTATGCATGGTGTTTTACAGTTGTGTTACTATATATTTTATTTTTTTCCTATTGAAGCCATTGTAATTTGAATTTTATTAGCTCTGATGCCTTTCTGGTTTTATTCTGTAAACCTGAAATAAAGAGGAAGATAATGTTTCTGCCATAAGAAATGAAATCAGGTATGACAGTATTAACATGTCACTGTTCATTAAAGCTTTGTGCATTCAATAGGAGATGAATAATTGTAATTTATGAGAAACAGGTATTCTAGAAAAGCAAAAAATGAAAATTTTACTTTCAGAAAACTGAAATGCTGATTTCTAGAGCATGAAACGAGAATATAATATTTAAATTATGCTGGCATTTGTTTTTTTTTGTTTCACTGCTAGTGAGTGTACATGAAGTAAGAGAATGGTTTTAACCTGTATGTCCGCAGTTAATCCTATTCTCAATGCAGACAAAGTGGGAAATTTTGCTTAGTTTTGTCAGAATTAATGAACTTTAGGAGTGGGCCAGGGTCACACTGTCCCAGAAGAATTCTGTATAAACACAGAAAATGAAGATGATCCCTTTGTGACGTAGTAAATTTAAAGTATACAACTGAAAACAGCAGGGGAACACAGATTATCTGATGAGAAAACTGCTCTATTAGAAGTCTTTTGATATGCTAAAAGAATTTCACATAGTGATGCAAAAGTCATAAAATTCCTTTTGTCCTACAAAACTTATTTTTGTTACAGAGGAACTCTTGCAACCCTAACTTGTAGTAGTCCTTTGTCTTAAAAAATTGTGTGCAATATTGTTTACTTGGTCAAGGAAAGGTAAAAAAAAAAAAAAAAAACACCACAATTTCAAACCCCTAACCCTCTTTTTTTTTTTACTTCTGTATCCAATATGAAAGAAGGAAAGACATGGAAAATAATTCTAAAGCTGCCATTTACTATAATTACATTTCAGAATGTGTTTCTGGCTGAGTTATAAGCTTTAATCAATGGCATCTACTACAATTAAAGCTGCCCTGTAGGTAAATGATTTAGTTTAGATGAATAGATTATGTTTTACTATCTGTAAATCGAGAGCTATGACAAATTCATTGTACACTGTGATTCTTGAAGGGATTAAAAAAAAAAGCTGTTGCTCTACGAGATCTCCTGAATAGGTTTCCTGTTCTTCTGTTTTAACTTTGTAGTTCGAAAGCCTCTTTTGGAGCAAAGAGCACAATGCATAGACTGTTATCAAATGCAAAATATGACCATGTATGAATGCACTAATAAAGTGAGAAATGTTTGTGGAATGACTGCAGTATTTACCATTCTTTTTTTGTACTGCCAGAGATAACAAGTGGGAATAACTGATTTTTGTTTTAGCTTCTGCTGTGAAAAACTGGGGAGCAAATTGCTCAGGGTCGAGTGAAGCAGTTTATTATTCTGCTTTGCAGAAGAATATACATTTCTCGATTTTCAAGTGATCTTTTGTGTTCTTTTTAATTCTCAAATTGAGGTCAATTTGTTTTCCTTTTCATGGGGAAATGGGAACAACATACATTTGTGACTGGTTTTGGTGAATAAACTCTTCATGTGCAGAATTTCTCTCTGTTCTATGTTTAAGTATCACTGTTCAGGTTCTCTATTGCCAGCCTGAACTGTACCTTACATCTTTCACAACAACATGCTAAATGATTTTGAAAGATCAGAAGCACTTGGTTTGGAAAGAAATGTGAGCTCTACCAGAGGCAGAGCTCCCATAGGGGTCTCCTGGGTTCTGGGGAGTGGGACACACGAAGAAACACCCAGCATGGCTCCATGGGAGTAACATGTGAGGAAGGAGAACCTGGTGCAAATAAGAAGTGCTGGTACTTGAAGGCTACCACTTTTTAATTTGTTTGAATGTGAGTGGTTGAATGTGAAGGACGTCAGAAATAATGCAAAATTAATTTTTGGTGAGAGGCCAGACCTGTGTACAGAAAAAAGTCAAATACAGAAGTATTATGTAGAAGTCTTCTGATCCATTTTTCAGTATGAGACTAGCAAATTTATACTGTTATTACATTAATTAATACCGAATTCAGGGTGTATTTCATTTCTTTCTAAAAAGTCCCTGTGGAACTTTCAGAATAAAGAACTTTGCCTTAATAGGCAGGTTTCAGCATAAAGACCAGGGTTATTGAAACAAATTCATTAATGTTATTGTGAAACCTGGGTACACAGTTGTTGGGAATTAGGTTCATTAAACATGTCCTTTTCTACCACTTTCTGCCGAAGTGCAGCCTTGATTAGCTAATCTGCAGTGACAGTAAGAGCCTTGCATCTATAAAACAACCAACTAAAATTAAATTTTCTACCAGTTCAGGCTATGAAGAGCTAGCCTAGTGCACTCACCTATGTCCAAGGAATCATGCAGATGCCTCAGCTGTCATCAAAACTGATTACAGACATAAAGCCCTATTAAAAAAAAAAAAAAAAAAAGTTAAAATGGGACCTGCATATTTAAAATTAGTTAATTTCACACTTTCAAATAAGTAAGATTATATCCCCTCATTAATAGTTAAAAGTCTAGTATGTCCATGCTACAGCTTAATAAACTGTTCATTGTGTCTCTAAACCTGAATCCAAGGTCTCCCTTTTAACAGTGAACCAAATTCAGCCACTACATCCATATCCATAAAGTCCTATTTCCTAGTATAAAAAATTAAATCTTCACAATGAAAGAGTGCAGTTTTTTTCCTACATAAAAATCATCATGCCTTACAGATCTTTCAGAGGAGGAGAAAGATTTTCTTGGCAGACATCGAACACATTAATTAGTATTTAAATATTTGTTCTTAAATACTAGTACTTAAAGATCCAAAAAGATATTAAGTTAGTTTGATTGGATAAAATGTATTAACAGTTAACATAATAAAGCATGTTAAAATATTAAGGACTTTCTGGTTATTCCTCTGTGTGAAGGAAGGAAGTAGTAAGTAAGATTAAGACTCACAGAGGGATGACGTGAGTGCTGTCTTGCCTGGGTGGGCATCCTTGTCCTTGGTGGACCTGGATGCTGTTGTCTTTGAATGGAATTCCAGTAAAGGGATTATGCTTCATTCACATGGATCTTCTAGGTACTCAGACAAAATCTTCCTTGTTGAATTTGAAGGCTATTCCTGCACTGCTCTCAACAAAATTGATTCAGAACTGGGTTAATCAGATGCTAAGTATCACTAAAATATGAGTATGCAAACTCCCAGCAAATAATCACTCATCTTGTGCTTCTGGAGAGCAAAAATATCTGTCTGTCCAGAGTTCCTTGGTCATCTTCATACTTCCCGTATTGTGAAGATTTCTTATTACTGTGGGTTTGGGGTTTTTCCTTTGCCTTGAGCTAAATTTCTGTTCCAGTTGAAAATGTCATTAGAAGTAACAAATATTTCTTTGTTTTTTTGTTGTTGTTTTTTTTTCATCCCATACAGTGTGAAAGGAGCAGATGCTGGGAACGTGATCAGACTATTTGTACCAGATATTGGGATGTTCATTGCTAGTCTGACAATATGGCTCCTCTGCCGCAACATGTTTCAGAAGCCAGTAACCGAGGATGCAGCACAGTGCAACATGCAATTTGAAAATGAGGAAATGGTATCAAATACACATTTCTATCTGTATGGCTTTTAGTGAGCTTTGGCAAATTTTCTGTCTGAGATGTGTTCTGAAATGGTTTCATGAGGACTGCGTATGTTAAAAAGTGAACTTATTTTCAGGAAACAAAATGATTGGTTTTAAAGTGGAAAAGCTAAAATTATTCTCTTGAGAAAAAAAAAGCAGAATATGAAAAGTGGTAGGTATGCTACAAGATTTTTCAATCATTTTGAGTTAAGAAACAATCACGACAGTCAATCAGAAGTTCTTCTTCACCAGAGCTGCTGTTTAAGTCTGCCAAGGTTGTTCTGCTACGTATAGTGGTCAGTTTCTTAGATAGCATCCCTATTTCCAAATTTTTTATCCAAGTCTGACTGATTATCAGAAATTACTCTTAAGAGAAGGGAAGAGAGACTGTGTATTAAGTTCATGGAAAGAGTTACCTAAAACTGTGGTTGTACTGAGTGAGCTTGAGGATGATATTGTGGAATGACTTAGCTGGAAGTGTTGATGTGTTTGCTGTGTATTTTACTAGTGGGAAGAGGAATAGCAGAGATACTGAACACAGAAAAATCCACAGAAAGAGGAAAACAAGTTTATAATATAATAAGCCACAGTGGGAATTTAGCCCAGGGTGCAGAGAAATTCCTACTACTAATCTTAATATGTTTTTTATCAGACTGTCTAGCATGCTTTGGGTCTCATTTTCTGTCTTCTTTTACATGGGTGAAGTGTTTTTTTCTTTACTCTCAAAATGCTGTTTTTAGGGGAGACAATTTCAATTTGCTCATTTCAAATAGAAATTGAACTTTGAAGTGAGTAAAATATTTAGAGGGATCAGTTGCCCATTTTGGTGCCACTGCATAGAGTAAAAAGGGGCCTCTCTGCATGTTGCCATGTTGTCTGGATTGTGGCAGTGCCAGAAGCTGGTCAGGTTTCTAGCACATGAGAGATCAGTATCAGGACTGCTTTATACTCAGTTGCAGTTGGAATTCTTATTGGCTCTCCTGGCAGCTGAGAATTGCCTGAAGGCTGCAGCTTTTTAACTACACTTTGGAGGACATATAGGTTTGATCTGATGAGCATATGCAAGGTTTTGTGTCTCCTGGAATCTGGTTTTATCAGCTTTAAATCTGCTTTATCGTCAAAACTGTGCAAAATGGATTTAGCAGCAGGCCAGAACCTTGGGCTGTACCCAGAAGTGGAGATGTCTGAAGCATTAAGAAGTGTGGCTTATTAGCATGGTTTGTGTTCAGCACTTCTCTTGAAAGTTTCATTTTACCAAAGTGGGCTCTAACAGACTTCTTTGAAGCCCTTGATCTCCTGAGAAGAAAGCATTCATATGCATAAAACGGGAGTAACCGATGGCAGAAACTCAGAAGAAGGCCATGCTTAGGTTCCTCTGAACCTCGATGATGATGCTTAGATATTCACTTCTTTGGTTCAGAGATGAGACTGAGCCTGGCGTCTGGGTCAAAGGGAGCTCAGTCGACTGGAGAGCATGGGTGCTGGCTTCCAGGTAGGGTTCAATATTTGTTTGCCTGGAGTGCAAGGGAAAAACTGAGCTAACAAATAGTAATAACATAGCATGGAGTGTAGCTTTTTATTGGGCTGTCCTGGACTGGCTACCTCAAGGCAATCCACCAGTGCAACTAAAAAGTCAAAACTATCCCACAAAGGAAGAGTGTGAAGGAGAAGAAAAGTCCGCCTGCAAAGAAATATTAATATTGGGCAAATAGAAATATGTGTAAATACATTTGACTTCTTCACATCAAAATCCAGTGAATATTATTTATGTTCTGTAAACTGTATGTATTACAGAATATTTAGTGAACACAGCAGCTGTGTTTAGATTTAGTGACACCCAAAACTCCATCACAGGCATATTTTTTTATAAAGGGATAATATTTTCTGTTATGTGAGGTGATCTCAAGTGCTTTAAGGAATTCTGATCTTCACAGCTGAAATGATGAATCTGTATCAGAGTAACCTACTTGTTTTTTTAAAGATTTAGTGAAATGGAGAGTGGAAAATTAAATACCTATTAAACACGTTTTCCCAAACTTCAGTTTTCTCTTTCTAGGTGTCTGCATATACCATCCTGGAATCATTTAGGAGGAGGTGGCAGAAGCAGCTGAATCTGCTAGGAATATGTAATTGGCAGGACTGACTCTAAGGAACCTAATGCATATGCAGAGCATGCAGCTGAGTGTCTGCATTTGGGAGAATATTGGCATGATCTAAAATGAGTCCAAACTGTGTAGGTTTCACGTAATTTTTTGTTCTTCCTTGGTAGAGTACACTGGAAAAGGGAAGCCTAAGTAAGAGACCAGTCCTTCGAATTCTGCATTAGCCAACTGGTGCCTGTGGCTGTATGTTGTTGCAGCTCATTACTGATGAGTTGCAGCAACAACTGCCCTGCAGAGAGACGCTTCAGGAAAAATGTTGAGCTTGGTACTTTTCCTCCAAGTGAAATAGTCCTGGGTTTGTTGAACGAGCTCTGTAGCCAATTCTAGAGCTGAAGAGCTTTTGCTGAGAGTCCCTACCACCAGTCATCAGAGGTTCGTGGTACAAGATTTTGTTAAGAATGCATCAGCTGATTTGAACAGGATTAGCAGAGCCATAAGAGAGGTAATTTTTCAGGTTGCTAGATGCCTAGCCACAGATGGTTCTATAAATCAAAAAATCAGCACTGTGAATTCCAGGCAAAAGCAGAGTGTCTTGCAGCTTTAATTTTTTTTTGCATTAAATTATTTATGTTGAATGATTCTCAGAACTCTTTGCTTTAGGGTAGAGTGAAATGCTAAATTTGCTAAAATTGACCTTTCCAAAGGTCTGTGTGAACCCATCACATTTCAGTTAATATATGGGCGTACCATAAAAATGCCTGGAGTTGAGTAGCAGTTTGTGATACTCAGTTATGTGCTGTATTTCAACATGGCAGTAGCCTCCAGAAACCAGTCATAGAGTATCATGGATCAGATTGCCCATGGATTGAGATACAACTCAAAACAAGAAAAAGTATCAGAATCCAAATTAAGGACAACAAGGATTCATTGAAAAATGGATGTCTTTCTTCATTGTGCTGCATCCAACTTTAAGGGAAACAGAACTCCATCACAAAAGTGTATTCTACAGAACAGAAGTGGGGGGAGGAGGCTATGAGGCAGTGAGACTCTCAATTATTTGTAAGTAATGCTATCCCAGGAATAAGCAAAGAGTGTGGTTTTAATTAACAGTGAGTCATGAAGTAGGAAGGTCTGCCAGATACCAGGCTGCAGTCCAACTCATTACCACCCCTAAATGGTTGCACACTTGGAGCAAACGTGTCTGCAGGCCCTTTTTATTAGGGCTCAGAAAATTTAAAGCAGGTGAATTCAGCTGGAGACAGGCCCGGATTGGAAATGCCAAAAAGCAAAATGCCAGTCACAAGGTGTAAAAGGTGGAAGAAAATAAGAAAGAACAGTTAACTCCCAGCTGCAGCTGAAACTATGACATTTTTGATTTGGTGCAGATGGTGGTTTATGTGCCAAAATGCAGATACAGTATATACAGTCTGATAGGTATTAGAAAGGAAGAAGCTTTTTCTTGAGTCTGTGCATGAATTGCCTAATGTTTTAAGTGACAGTGGCAGGGAGGAAACTCCTTTCTGCAATTGCACAACTTAAACTTTAGAAGAGGTTTTGATCTTAATTGAATAAAGCAGTTATAGTCTTCAGTGCAACTTCCTCCCACTCGCTGCTTTGCATATTCAAGCCTGTTTCTCATCCACAATCTCCTAGAAAGCAAATGGGGCCACTGGGTCTTTACTTTGTCCCATAATCTGAGGCAAGTTTGGTTTCGGAGCCTCCACACCTGCTGTTTTCTGCAGAAGGCAGAGATTTGTTTGGGATCTGAAAAGGGAAAAAAAGGAAAAAAGAGGAAATTGTTTTAAAATAAACTAAAGTTTGAGAAGAATGTGAGGAGAGCTTGACCTGGAGTCAGGATACTGAATTCTAATCAGAGGACCAGCATGGTTCTCACTTTGGCCTGAAATTTGTTTTGAGTCCTCAAGTCTATTACTCTCTATATCTCTCTCTCAGCTTCTGTGTCCCTTGACACATAGAAGCAGTAAAAATGCTCATTTTGCTAGCTTTTTCTTTCTAAACAGTGACAGGGCTATTTGTCCTATGCCTACACTGGGCACGTAGTACATGGAGAGCTCTTATTTGGTCCAGGACTCCAAGTGTAACTGCAATACATACAGGAGAGAACGGACAGGCTCTGAGAACTGCACATGTCCCATACCTTGTCCAAGGACATTCTAGCCTAGAAATTGCCCATTTAGACCGGTATCCTTATCCTGAAAGTAGCTGGTACCTGTTGAGTAAGGACAGTAGCATGTAAGAGAATACCCTTTTTCTTCCATCTCCAAGATTAAAATTCATCCTACTCTCTCCTCGTGCAAGAATAACTTTAATCCTAAAACATGTGGTTTCAAATCCCTTCCAAAAAAAAGTTGTTTATAATTATAGCTATTTTGGATAATCTTGTTAAACATATAATTACCCAGACCCTTTTAAAACCTCATTAATTTCTTGGCTTCAGTGGCATCATGAAGCAAGGACTTCCACAATTTAATAAGCGCTCTCTGATTTTATTTTGAATTTAACACTCTTTAATTTTATGGAAGGTCCCTGTATTACATGTTATAAAAAAGAGTGAGATAGTTTAAGGGAAATCAAATGTATTTATTATCTTCTGTATTTGTCCTTTTAAAGATAAGCAATTTCTGTTTGTTTTTTTTTTCACAATGTCTTCTGTCATGGTAATTTTTTTTTTTTCTGAACAAGCTATAGGTCTGTAATATTCATTTGAGCTACAGGGATTATCAGTTTCTCAGCATTTCAGGCAAGGTCTTATGGTAGATTTAAATGATGATGTTATGACATTCATTATGAGGTTCAGAGATTTTGAGGTTGAACAATTCTACCAGTGTATCACCTACTTGGATGTCCTGT